GGCGCTCGACCCCGTGCTGCAGCCCGGAAACTTTTCCGCGGACGAGGAGGGGGCGCAGCTCTTCGCGCAGAGCTTCAACGCGAGCGCCGAGCAGGTGCTGTTCCAGAGCACGGCCGCCGGCTGGGCGTACGCCATCAACATCACCCAGGAGAACGCGCGGCTCCAGGTGGGCGCGCGGGCCCGGCGCGGGGGGGGGGCGGGGGCGGGGCCCGGGCGCCCAATCACAGGCCTGCGGCCGGGCGCTGGGGGGCGGGGAGTCATCGCCGGGCGCGCGCCCCCGGCCCGTGAGCCGAGGGGGCAGAGTGGAGCCCGCGGGACTCCCCCCACCCCGCCCCATCAGACTGGCTGTGGGCGCCCTAGGACGGTGCTGGGCTCTTGGTCTGTGCCCGGCATAGGAACCGAATGGATGAGGCTGGCTCCTCTGACACCGAGTTCCCCTGAGTGGCAGCGCCCGGGGATGACATCGGGCTGGGTCAGCGGCAGTCTTCGCTGAGGGTGCCCGCTCTGCTCCGGGCCCTCGTCCTCTCTGGCCGCAACCTACCCCTCTCTCACTGTTGCTGTCTCCGTTCATCACTGTCTCTTCACCCGCTCCTCTCCCTGCCTCTCCTGGCTCGTTTCTGCTCCACCGCCCCGCTGAGGCAGAGTCCCCCAGTTCCTGACCCCGAGGGCCCAGGAGGAGGGAGCAGTGCTCCTGCCATCCCCAGTCTCCGGGAGCCCTTGGCCTGTCTCCCCTCCCCCAGCGCCGGGGCCTCCCCAGTATACCCTCCCGTGCCCTTCTGGTGCCCACAGGAGGAAGCAGCTCTGCTCAACCAGGAGTTTGCCGAGGTCTGGGGCCAGAAGTGCAAGGAGCTATACGACCCAATCTGGCAGAACTTCAGTGACCCGATATTGCGGCGAGTCATCAGTGGTGTGCGCATCCTGGGCTCTGCCAACCTGCCCCTGGAGAAGCGCCAGCAGGTGGGCCCCGTGGACCTGAGGGATGGAGGCAGAAGTGGTTGGGGTGCCTCCTAGTGCCCCATTGTGATGGAGGGAAGGGGCTGGCAGGGAGGGACCCTGGGATCGGTATGGACCCTGACTATTGGGTAGGCATAGAATGGCTTCCTGAGCATTGATTTTCCTTGGAGATTGGGTGGGAAGTTACTTTATATTAAAGCAAATATTACAGAGTAGAAGGCAAATTCAAGTTACCAGTAAAAGATGAAACAGGGGTTTTCGAAATTTCTCCATAGGCCAGTTTGGTTTATGGGCTTCCTTAGAAAAATTGAGAAGGACTGAGAAGACATCAAGGGCAGAGAATGAGAGGGATTTGCCCTTACTGCAAGGTAGTGGCCGAGCTCAGACTTGAGCCCCGATCCCTGACTCTCAGGACATGTGTTTCCACTTCCACAGGCTGCCTCCACAGGCTGCCTCCACAGGAGGGGAATCCGTGCATTAGTGATCAGAAGTGCTCTGAGTGCCACTAAGTGGCCTTGTCCAAGCCACATCCCCTCTCCTGGCCTCCTTTTCCTCCCAGCAAAAAGAGGAGAGTAGCCAGATTCTCTCTGGGGGTTCATGGCTAACATTTTCTCAACTGTAACTCCCCAGTACAACTCTCTGCTAAGCAACATGAACAGGATCTACGCCACCGCCAAGGTCTGCTACCCCAACAAGACTGCCACCTGCTGGTCCCTGGACCCAGGTACCGTCCTGTCTCTACTGTCTCTGATGGTGCTTCCTACCCTTCCCCATCGCCCTGCTGCGTGTTTATCAAAAGGAACTGCGGAGAGAGTGGCAAGGCACTGACCTCCAACTGGGGCTGGACTGTCAGATGCCCCCACACCCCTGCTTCTCCTGGCAAACCGACTTCCGGAATCTCCAGCCCCCAGCCCCACCCCCCTGTGTGCTTTGTCCTCTCCCTTCACCAGTGGCCTTTGTCCTGGCTGCCTCGTTTCCCCTTTTATGGGTTCTTATTCTCCCCCAAGAGCCCTCCACAGGCCTTGGACCCCTCTTGGCTTCTGGTATACTTTCCTCCTCTCCCCCCACCCCCTGACCCCCATTTACTAGGCAGCCTTAAGGTCAGGCGCTCCATCCAATGGGTCCTGAAGGGTCTGTCTGGGTTTTGGTCTCTGGATGTCTTCTTTGTGTCAACCACCTTAGATCATCATTTCCCTGGGGACAAGGGCCCTGCTGGGTGCTGGCTTTGTATAGCTCCCAGCCCATCCCACCCAGCTTGAAGGTTGCCATTGGCTTTGCGGGTATCATGATGTTGAGGAAGCAGGTGGAGATGGTGAGGACCAGTGTGGGAGCTTTGCTGTTGCTGACTTCAACGGAGAAATCTCCTAACTGACCCTGCTGACCTATGTCTCAGAGCTCACCAACATCCTGGCTGCCTCTCGAAGCTATGCCTTGCTGCTATATGCCTGGGAAGGCTGGCACAACACTGTGGGCATCCCGCTGAAACCCCTGTACCAGAACTTCACTGCTCTCAGCAATGAGGCCTACAAGCAGGATGGTGAGCATGCCCTGCCCCTTCCTTTGTCTGGGTGTCACCCTCACCAGCTTCCAAAATGCTCTCCCATCCGCTGTCACCACTGAGTCCCAACCCCTGAGGCAGACAGGGCATCTGTTATGATGATTCCGTACACTGGCCCAAGGTCGCACAGGTAGTGGATGGCGGAATTGGGTTTGAGCCCGTCTGCCTTCCACCAGGCTGCTGTCTTGCCCTCACACTGCCCCTCCTGCCTGCTCCTGTTGGCCCTCCTCCCAGCCCTAGAATTCATCTTTACCTCTCATGCTCTCCAGGATCTATTTAGCTGGAGTTTGAGCAATCCCTAGTTAGAAAATTCTAGAGTGGCAACCCCCATGCCATCCTTTCCAGCTAGCCAGCAGACTCACAGACTCCAAGCCAGGAGAATGGCGAAGTAGTAGCTGGGAGGCCAAGGTGCCAGAGACTTGGGCCTGAGCTGCACCCCAACGCCACCCCCACTAGGCTTCTCAGACACGGGGGCCTACTGGCGCTCCTGGTACGAGTCGCCCACCCTCATGGAGGATCTGGAGCACCTCTACCATCAATTAGAGCCCCTCTACCTGAACCTCCATGCCTACGTCCGCCGCGCACTGCACCGCCGATACGGGGACAGATACATCAACCTCAGGGGACCCATCCCTGCTCACCTGCTGGGTAAGGACCTGGCCTTCCCTCCACACACATTCCAGGGATCGTCCTCACCATGTCTCACGTTTAGAGCCCACACTGTTGGCTCCCACATGCATGAGCCCATGTAGCTCGCTCACCACCACCGTAAAACAGGCGATCCTCGTTGTCACTGTTCCTACTCTTCAGTTGGGCACCCTGAGGCTTAGGGCGTGTAAGTGACTTGGCAGAGGGCAGAGAACTAGTAAAAGGCAGAGCGAGGAGTCACACTGGAGGAGGAATAATAATCCTACTTTGTGTCCCAGGAAGCAAGCCCTGTGGCCCTGCCTCAGGGTTGGGAGGCAGGGACCCCGGCACCGTCCGAAAGGACCCCGGCAGCGTCACTTGGGCTTACACTTGGCCTCTGCCAGCCCTGGGAAACATGGAGCACTTGGGAGTGTGGGTGGGACTGATGTGTGAGATTCCTGGCCTCAGCCAGCCCAGCAGGCTGCTGCCCTAGAGTGCCCCAGGGTCCAGATACCAGGGCCCAAGGTGCTGCTCAGTGGCACGATGGGGAAGCAGGTGCTGGCTGGGCAGGGAGCCAAGCTGTCTGGCTCCCCTCCTCTGTCTAGGGGACATGTGGGCTCAGAGCTGGGACAACATCTACGACATGGTGGTGCCTTTCCCTGACAAACCCAATCTCGACGTTACCAGTACTATGGTGCAGAAGGTAAGCTCAGGATCAGGCCAGGGTGGGAGCAACAGGAGGGAGTCAGACATGGGAGAGGGGCGGGAAGAGGTCACGTGAAGGAGACATGTTAGGTAGGGATCTCGGTCCCTCCCATTCTATATAGCAGCAGCCCGGAGTATGTGTACGAGTGGTGAGCTGGGGTCTGAGTCCTGGGTGAGGTGCCAGCCCCTCCCTTCAGGACCCCCTGGTGGGATGTGAGCAGTAGTCCACTTTTGTGGTCAGTGGGGGCCTTACCTCTGGGAAGGGAGGCCACAGAGCAGAGATGGCCTTTATGGGCATGGAGCTGACCTGGATGGGGGACCCCAAACCTGCCCCCGGGGCAGCCACAGTGAGCTCCCAGCAGCTGGCCCCTGACCTGTACCCGCACCCCACCACCAGGGCTGGAATGCTACACACATGTTCCGGGTGGCAGAGGAATTCTTCACTTCCCTGGGGCTCTTGCCCATGCCTCCTGAGTTTTGGGCAGAGTCCATGCTGGAGAAACCAAGCGATGGGCGTGAGGTGGTGTGCCATGCTTCCGCCTGGGACTTCTACAACAGGAAAGACTTCAGGTCTAGACATGGGACTAGGGGGGTTCTGAGGCTCTGGGAAGAGTAGGCAGCCAGAGAAGCCAGTTACCAGGCCTGCCTCTACCCCAGCCCCAACACCGGCTCGGGGGCCGGGTCTATTCCAGGGCTGCCATTTGGTTGCCTTCCCTTGGCAACTTTGACAAGTAGTCAGCTCTACCTTGGAATGGAGGGGAAAGGCCTGAGTGTGGGCTGGGGCGGGGTAAAGGATATGTATGTTTCCACCAGCTCCTTGCTCCTTTCTCTCAGGCACCAGCCTCCCCACGCTCTTGTCCCTGCCCTGCCCTGTCCTCACTGTCGCCCTTGCTCTCTGCCCGCCCCAGGATCAAGCAGTGCACGCGGGTCAACCTAGACCAACTGTCCACAGTGCACCATGAGATGGGCCACGTGCAGTACTACCTGCAGTACAAGGGCCAGCCTGTCTCCCTGCGCCAAGGTGCCAACCCTGGCTTCCACGAGGCCATCGGGGATGTGCTGGCGCTCTCTGTCTCCACTCCTGCACATCTGTACAAAATTGGCCTGCTGGACCATGTCACCAATGACACAGGTAGGGGAGGTGGAGAGGACCCAGCCCAGCCCCACCCAAACCCCACTCAATCCCACGGCAGGACTCCACTTGCCCCTGCTCCAATCTGCCCTTCTTGTTTCCGCCTCACCGCCCCGGGTCAGGCAGGCGTGGGGATCCACCCGGAGCCTCACAGCCCACCCTGAGTCCCAGCTCAACACTACCCAAGGGCCCTCTTCCAACTGGGGTCCCATGGTCTTGAAGGCCAGCCTTCCCTTCTCTGCATCTGCCCAGCCTCACTTCCTCCTGGCTCCTCCCCAGGCCCTCCCCATCCTAGCTGGTATCCCTTCTCCCTCTGACCTCTCTCGTCTCATCTCATCTCCTGACAGAAAGTGACATCAATTACTTGTTAAAGATGGCGCTGGAAAAGATTGCCTTCCTGCCCTTTGGCTACTTGGTGGACCAGTGGCGTTGGGGGGTGTTTAGTGGGCGTACCCCCCCTTCCCGCTACAACTTTGACTGGTGGTATCTTCGGTGAGCAAAGAGGGATCAGGAAGGACTTGACCCCAATGGCCCTCCCACCCTCCTGGGCAGCCAAGAGCCTCCTGCCTTGATCAGTCCTAGTGCCCTCCTCTCCAATAATGCCTCCATCCTTTTACCCACCACGTGCTTTTTCCTTGCCTAAAACTCCCTCCTCCAGGAAGTCTTCCCCAATTCACCAGGATGGGGAAAGGATGGCCGGGTGGGAATGCCTACCTTTTCTGCAAAAGCTAAATCAGCCTATGTGCAACCCTTAGGTCCTAAGACAATTTAACCATCCTCTTGTAGAACCAAATATCAGGGGATCTGTCCTCCAGTTCTCCGAAACGAAACCCACTTTGATGCTGGAGCTAAGTTTCATGTCCCAAATGTGACACCGTACATCAGGTACTATTGCCCCTCTCCTGCCCTCCAGTTCTGTCACACCTTTAGTCCCCCTCGCCCTACTCTGATCTTGGCCCCCTCCTATTCCCAGGGCTCATCCCCATACTCTTCTGGACCCCCCGCCCCCAGGGCCTGGAATTCCAATGGGTCTCTCTCCTGAGCCAGGCTTGGCTCTCCCTTCATCTGCCAAGGCAGCCCCTGGTCTGACCTCTGTCCAAGCTGCATGCTGCCTGGGTAAGGGACCCCCACCATCCCCCCTAATGCCCACTCTGTGCCTGCAGGTACTTTGTGAGTTTTATCCTGCAGTTCCAGTTCCATCAAGCCCTGTGCAAGGAGGCAGGCCACCAGGGCCCACTGCACCAGTGTGACATCTACCAGTCCACCCGGGCAGGGGACAAGCTCCGGTGTGTGGGGGGAAGGGAGGGCAAGTGGAGGGTGAGGGGAGAGGCTGGAGAAGGGCGTGTCTGGAAGGCACCTGGCTGCTGCAGTGGGGGCACCACGGGGCTGGACTTGGGGAGGGTGCCTTCCCTCCCCCTTTCTTTCTCTCATCAAACATTGATGGAGTGGGCCTTCTAGCTGTCATGGGGCAAGACAAAGGTCCCCTGCCCCCTTCACAGAGATCCTAGGCCCCGGAGTCTTAATGCTGCTGTCCTTGCAGTCCAGTGGGGGGCAGATATGGCCAGAGGTGGGGCAGGTGGGCCAGGGAGCCAGTAGTGGACGCTGGCCTGAGTCCCCTGTGCGTTGTGTCTGCTCTGCCTGACAGGGAGTTGCTGCAGGCAGGCTCCTCACGGCCCTGGCAGGAGGTGCTGAGGGATATGATCGGCTCAGATACCCTGGATGCTCAGCCACTGCTCAACTACTTCCAGCCGGTCAGCCAGTGGCTGCAGGAGCAGAACAAGAAGAATGGCGAGGTCCTAGGCTGGCCAGAATATCAGTGGTACCCACCGATGCCCAACAATTACCCGGAGAGCATTGGTAAAGCCCTGAGTGAGGGTGGGGTGGGGCGCTAAGGTGAGTTCTCACTTCTGGGCTCTGGACCCAGGTTCCCTGTCAGCTCCTCCCAGCTGGGCCCTGGTACCCTGCTCTGGACAGCCAGGTAGCCCCCTGAGCTCATCAGCAGGGCCCTGATGGGGGATGGGAATGTCTTTTCCCCAACATCCTAGAGACAGTGTGCTCAGATCTGAGGCCTCCAGGGGCAGACTGGCCAGCCACACTGCTCTATGAGGTCACACTGCAGGCTCCACTCTTATTGGCCAGGGGGCGGTGGCTGCAGGGCTCTGCTCTCCTGCGGCCATGGGCCAAGGTTGGGCTGCTCCGGGACTGCCCAGCCTCCTTCTCCTCCTGCTCTGCTGTGGGCACCCCCTGCTGGTCCCCAGCCAGGAGACCACCAGCCAGGTGACAATCAACCAGGGAACAACCAGCCAGGCAACAACCATCATCCAGACAACAACCCACCAGGAAACAACCAGCCACCAGACAACCCAGAGCCCAAGTGGGACCAGTTGGGGCGCGGCAGGGGCATGATGGGGTGGGGAGGCGGGGTGGTGGTGGGGCTCTGGCCAAACTGCAGAAGAGGGCAAGGGGTGCCTGTCTGTTTCCCTCCATTCTGTCCCACAGAGCTGGTGACCAATGAGGCTGAGGCCAGCAAGTTTGTGGAGGAATATGACCGGAGATCCCAGGTGGTGTGGAACGAATATGCCGAGGCCAACTGGAACTACAACATCAACATCAGTGCAGAGGCTAGCAAGATCCTGGTAGGGGCCCTCTCCATGCTCCACACCCATGCACATGCACAGACACACACACAGCACACACACGTGCTCCCCCCAGCGACCAATCCTCCAAAACCCAGGGCAGGGCAGGGCAGGCCGCCCCCTCTTTCCCTCCCTCCCCTGGTGTCACCTCAGCGAGGGGAGGCTGTTGGAATTTGTGAAAAATTCAAATGGAATATTGAAAAGAATACTCAATTTCAGATTTGAGTGGGCATATGCTCAATGCCCGAACAAGTTGTCTTTCATTAACAATCTGTTGTTAATAATGGAATAATTGGCACATAAATAAATGATGCTAAAGTTGGTTTTGAAAAGATTGAAAGCCCCCATTTGCCACCACAGCGAGGGCTACATTTCCCCTCCAACCCCAATCCCCGCCTGTGTGGTGAGCGCAGCTTATGTCAAGGTGAACCACAGAGAACTAGCGTTTCTTGAAGAGCACTGTGTGCTGGCCCCTGTTCCTTGGCGCTTTACATCTGTTGCCTGATTTATTCCTTAACAGCCTTGCAAAACCAGTGATCTTATTCCCATTTTACAGATGGGACCCTGAGGCTCAGAGAAGCACAGAGCTAATACGAAGCTGCCTCCACCCTAACAGCCCTTAAGATACGGGGTGGGGGCCGGCCCCGTGGCTTAGTGGTTAAGTGTGTGCGCTCCGCTGCTGGCGGCCCGGGTTCAGATCCCGGGCGCGCACCGACACACTGCTTCTCCGGCCATGCTGAGGCCGCGTCCCACATACAGCAACTAGAAGGATGCGCAGCTATGACATACAACTATCTACTGGGGCTTTGGGGGGAAAATAAATAAATAAATAAAATCTTTAAAAAAAAAAAAAAGATACCGGGTGGGCTTCCTGTTCTCTACCCCTGCCAGGATATGACTTGCTCAACTGTGGGCATCTGTTGAGGGCCATGTACTGCATTCAGAACATTATAGACAGTCCAGGTTGAAGAGGGTCTTTATAGGCAAAGGCAGCAACTTGATGAATCTGCCCCCTTCACCGCCACCCCTAGTCCCTTCGGCTCTCCCATGGCACCTCCTCCTCAGAGGCCTCTCCAAAGCGCCTGGGCCTCATGACACGGTTACCCCTGTGCCTTCAGCTGCAGAAGAACATACAGATGGCAAACCACACCTTCAAGTACGGCACCTGGGCCAGGCAGTTTGATGTGACCAACTTCCAGAACGCCACCATGAAGCGGATGATAAAGAAGATTCAGGACCTAGAGCGGGCAGCACTGCCTGTCAAGGAGCTGGAGGAGGTGTGTGGCTTGAGGGGAGCAGGGAGTGGAGGATCCAAGGTCAGGACCAGGTCCTAGCTGGGGAGTGAGCCCAGTACAGAGTCTGGCCTTCATGCGGCTTCCTCTTCCTTGATTTGTCAAGTTGTGACATCTGCCATGTTGACATACACTTCCAGAATTACTGAGAAGGCAGCACCTTTGGGAACACACTTCCCCAGCTCCACAGCCCCCTCTGGAATGGTGCCTGGGGTAGCAGGTAGTAAAGGGGTGCAGCTCGCTGCCTCTCTTCCTCCTCCTGCAGTACAACAAGATCCTGCTGGACATGGAAACCACTTACAGCGTGGCCTCTGTGTGCCTTGCCAACGGCACTTGTCTGCAGCTAGAGCCCGGTGAGCATACAAGGGCAATGAGAAGAGGGGCTGGGGAGGCTGTGGTGGGACCCAGTGTTAGGGGTGCTGGCCCATGAAAGGGGGGTCAGGCGTGCTTCACTCTTGGGTCAGTGTGCCCAGGAACCTCACTTCTGTTTTCCACCAGTGGGGCTTCTCTGCCACCACTCAGAAGCAGCCCCTGCTTATCTCTGCCCTAATCCACTGCCCCTCCCTTGGATCCACCCATCTGTTCCCTCTCCATCCTCCTCCAGACTCTCCCCTTCTCTCTTTTCCTCCCTGTACCTTGCTCTGCAGAGCAGCGGGTATCTCAAATTTGTCTCTCAAATTTGCCTTTTGAGGGCTTGGACTCCCAAATAAGGATAGTAACTCTAGGCATCTCCCTTCCGTGCTCCTTCCAATCCTGTCTTTCCCACCTTCTCTGGTCCCTCCTTACCCCCACCCAAGAAATTGAAGCCACAGCCTGCAGAAGCCACCTTCATGCCATTCAGCTTCACTCTCTCCACAGCCACTTCCTGCTGGAAGGAGGGACCAGCTCCCACTTGTCCTGTCTCCACACTGGCTGGGCCTTATTACCTTCTCCCCTCTGAGGGATCTCACCCTCAACACCCAAGTCCCTGCACACAGATACACCCCCTCCTCCCTCCTGACCTACCCTTCCCAGGGTTGGAGAGCCAGAGGCATAAACATTCTCCCTGATGAATCTCCACCCAGAAACAGTCTCTGCCTGGCCCTGCGCCCAACTCCCACGTTAGAACAATGACAAATAGAGGGGAAATGGAAAATAAACAGGAGAGAGAAAGTTTTCCTGGGACAGGGTTTGGCCTACGGGTTGTGGATGTGGATAGGCACGCAAAGTGTTGGGGGGCATGTGTGCGTGTGTGTATGTTTGTGTGTCTGCATGTGTGTGCCTGTGTGTGTGCGTGTGGTGTGCACGTGCATGTGCGCGCATGTGTGTGTTTATGGATTAAGAGCATTAAAGGGAGTGTGGCCTTCAGCACCCCTATCAGTCAGCCCCTTAATCCAGGGCTGGGCCATCAGGTCAGTTCCATTAGTAAGAATAAGAAGCACCCACAAAAGCAGAACACTCACATCAGCAGAGGACAGATGTGAAATTATCCAAATACATTTTTTTCCAAAGAAAGTTAATTTGAATGTACTTTCTCTGTGAAAAGTAGATATCACGTACCATGTTCCGAAATGAGGAGCGAGCACAGGTCACTGAGGGGTGCAGGGCCCGAAGCCATCCAGTCTTCCATCTCAGGCCGGGCCCGGGCGGGAAAGGATGCCACCACTGGTCTGTGTGGAGCCTCAGAATCAACACACAAGCTCATGCCATCCTCATCCCAGCTCTGCGAGGTGGATGTCAGCTCCATACAATCCCTAATCAAGGAGGCCACTCACGTGGTCAGTGGCTTCAACAGGACACAAAGCCAGGCTTCCTGGCTCTCTGACAATGCTTGGATGGTTCTCTGTACTTGGTCTTCACAGCTATTCTTTTATTCAGTCAGTTCAGTTGCAGTTTGTGAAGGATGCCCTGGTCCCTGCGGGGACACAGAGATGAACGAGGCACCCTCCCTGCTCCGGGTCCTTGTGCTCCTGTTCGATTTTCACCCCACTGTGAGGGTGGAATTATCCCATTTTATAGATAGGGAAAGAGGGGTCCTGTGACTTGCAAGGTGATTTTGGGGTCAGTGGGAGGCTAGAACAGGAAGTCAGGTCTTTTGACCTGCAGGCCATTTCTCCCAGGGAGGGGTGAGCAGGGAATGGTGGGGAGCAGCAGCTCTGGGGTCTGGGCCTTTGGTTTGTTCCCCAGTTCAGCCACTTCCTGGGAGACCCAGCCATGTCACCAAACCGCTCACGTGGAAACAAGCACATCCATCACAGGGCTCTTGAAACCCGGGGATCGCCTGAGATTACATGCATGCAGCACCAAGCCCCCATCTGACAGCCTGGGAGCCCCTGTAGAAAGGGCACCATCTTTTTTCCCATTTCACCAGACGTGCTGCCTGTACTGTCCCTTTTACATGATCTCACCAGTTTTATTCCAGCTCTGAAGGAGGTGGGAGGTGAGCCAAGGGCTGGGGGCTCAAGCCATTCAACCCCTGCCCTCCAGATCTGACAAATCTGATGGCCACATCCCGGAAATATGAAGAACTGTTATGGGCGTGGCAGAACTGGCGAGACAAGGTGGGGAGGTCCATCCTCCCTTTTTTCCCAAGATACGTGGAGCTTGCTAACAAGGCTGCCCAGCTCAATGGTGAGTCCCTCCAGCTGGCATCACTGGCTCTCTGGTCCCAGCCCTGCTGGGGCCCTCGGAGAGGTCCTCGGAGACCCTAAGCCTGGTGAGAGGGAGGTCCCTGGAGGAGGCAAGGGGTGCTCAGGGAATGGCCAGGTGTTTAGAGAGCCTGACTGTGTCCCCTCCGCAGGCTACGCAGATGCAGGGGACTCGTGGAGATCTATGTACGAGATGCCGTCCCTGGAGCAAGACCTGGAGCAGCTCTTCCAGGACCTGCAGCCGCTCTACCTGAACCTGCACGCCTACGTGCGCCGGGCCCTGCACCGCCACTACGGGCCCGAGCACATCAATCTGGAGGGCCCCATTCCGGCTCATCTGCTGGGTGAGGGCAAGTGCTGGGCCATAAGGAGGGGATGAAGGCAGACCCCAGTATGAGGGAGGGTGGGACCAGAGCTGGCTAGAAGGCAGAGGGCAGGCTGGGAAGGGTCTGCAGATGGCACTTCAGGCTGGGAGAGTGAAAAGACTTGAGCCTGGAGGGAATGTTGCCAAAGCTGGAGTGGAGTAGGGGCTGGATGCTAGGAGACAAGCCCCCTGTTTGCATCTGGTGCCACATTTGCTACAGATCCACGTAGTGCAAGTCACCATGGCTGGGGCAGTGGGGGGGAGTTCATAATCTTGTCACAGGGAGACCACATCACTCATCACGGTTTGAGGCAGCATGATACAGGAGCATGAGGAAGGGGCTGTGCGTGGGAGCTGGGGCCTCCCCAAGAGGTGCCATGTGAACAGAGCCTTGAAAGATGAGAGGTTCTAACAGATGGAAAAAGTAGTTGCGAGGAGGAGAAAGGCAGACACAACGTTCAGGCTACAGGGGTTAGGAGAACAGAGAAGAGTCTTGAGAGTGTAGATCCACCTCAACTTTTGGACCCCTGTTTTTCAGGGACTATAAACTCAAATGCCATGAATGCATGAAGTAGGCAGTGGAAGAGAATAAGGATGGTAGGGACTGGAGCAAAGTAGAGGCTACCAGGTCTCTGTCCCTGTCGGGCCATCAGGAACATATTCCGGGGGAGCTTGTTACTGTGAACAAAGAGGCCCGATGGGGCCACAGACCATTTACAAATCATGAGGGAGACCCCAGAAGCTGGTCCAGATTTGGGTCTAGTTCCTACTCAGCCTGGAGGATCTTTGCAGCCCAAGAGACCAGCCATCCTTGATCCCTCTCTGGTAAGACTAAGGAACATCAGAGTGGACATCAGCTTGATGGCTGAGAAACACAGACCCCGGGAGGGGACGCAATGTGCCCAGGGGGTCCGGGAGCTGGAGTGGAGCTGGGCCTTAGAACTCAGCCACTGGTGATCGGAGTGGCCAGGCACTGGCTAGCTCACGCTCTCTTACTCACTCACTCACTCTTAACTCTCACTGGTTTGCACTTTAGACTCCACCTGATGTCAGCTCAAGCTTAATCTCCTTTGGCTACAAAAGACTCTCCCAATCTTTTTCTAGACCTTTCCACTCACTCAGAATATCCTCCTTTTCTCCACTCCTGGAGAACTGGGCTCTCTTCTCTTACCCTAAATGCAGAGGCATCAACCTCTCCTGAAGGAGTGTGGTTCTTGCCAGGCAACCACATAAGCCAATCTCAGGTGACTTGGAGGGGACACAGCAGTGGTTGGTCAGGAGTGCGCCTGCCTGCCTGCATTTAAACCCAGCCCCCTCGCTTAGAAGCCGTGGGCCCCCAGGCGGGTTACTTAACTCTCAGTAAGTGGTGGACACATGTGCATAGACGTTCCAGGGACCTGAGGCTTCTGCATTTGTACACAGTTGCTAGTCACACCTGTCTTCACTGCTCATGGACAGTGAGGACCACCTTGACTCCCTGTTGGCCAGCAAGGTTCTCACCAGTGAGCCAGGACAGTAACGACCTTGTAGGCTGGATGTGCAGACTGAAGATGATGTATGTCGAATGCCCAGCACAATCTGCAAACAATAGATGCTCAAGAGAAACCATTATGATTCACAGGACTGGGATCTGGTTCCCTCTCCGTGTGTGATAGTGCTGAGCCTAAGAAGTAACATCTGTCTCTCCTCTCTCCACATGTCTTCCCCTACCCACCTCCAGGGAACATGTGGGCGCAGACCTGGTCCAACATCTATGACTTGGTGGTGCCTTTCCCTTCAGCCCCCAAGATGGATGCCACGGAGGCCATGATAAAGCAGGTCCGCACTGGCCTCCTCGCCCTCCTGCTCCTCCATAGCAGCCCCAGGGCACAGGGGAGGAGAGGCCCCTGCCTGGGTGGGAGAGGGCCCTCTGATTCCAGAGTGCCTTCTAGCTTAGCCCTCTCCCAGTTCTCTCCCCAGCTGCACCACACAACCTGTCCCCATAGTCCCCAGTTTTAGCTGAGCTCCCTCTGCTTGCAGGGCTGGACACCCAGAAGGATGTTTGAGGAAGCGGACAATTTCTTCACCTCCCTGGGGCTGCTGCCTGTGCCCCTTGAATTCTGGAACAAGTCCATGCTGGAGAAGCCAAACGATGGGCGGGAGGTAGTATGCCATGCCTCTGCCTGGGACTTCTACAACAGCAAAGACTTCAGGTTTGTCCAAGCTGCAGCCAGGAGACGTTAGCCTTAGTCCACTGGGCAAGGAGATGAGCCAAGTAGCATCTCCACTGCCATCCCTTCAGCCAGAGCAAGCAGAAACAGGTACAGGGGGCCAGATCTTGGGATGGAAGGTCAAGCATGTTGGGCCTGGCCCCAGCTTGGCCATTGGCTTCTGGCAGGGGAACCTCATCCACTAGGTGAGGGTATTCTCAAGTGCTGACTAGCTCTGCCAGCTTGGTCAGTCGGCCAGTGCCGAAGGTCCCAGTCCTGGGTGTGAGCACTGTGTGAGCTGCCCAGCCTTCCCTCACTCCAGAGCAGCCCCTGCATACAGTTGGCCCTCTCCCTGGGTGCATGTGCCTTGACACAGGGAGGCACATGAGGACATGGGGGCTTCGCACAGATCCACCCTCACCACTGACAGGGGCTCAGAAGCTGTCTTCATTGGAGGAGTGTTTCAGTTATCTATTGCTGCATGACAAACCACCCCAAAACTTAGTGGTATAAAACAACCATTGATTATGCTCATGATTTTAGGGGTCAGGAATTCACGCATTACTGTGGAAAGGCTTGTCCCTGCTCTGCAATGATGGAGACCTTAGCTAGGGTAGCTTTGATGGCTGGAGACGGCTGGAATAGCTGAATGGGGCCATCTGTCGGGGGCCTTGGTTCTGGCTATTGGTTGGGTTCCTCTGTTTTTCTCCATGTGGCATGCTGGGGCGGAATGTTCGAGTTGGCTTCTTCACTCACATGTTGGCTCCCTGGGCTGAGATGGCTGGAGAATCTGGGGTTGGTAGGACATCTCTCTCTCCAGGCTAGCTTGGGCTTCCTCACAGTATGGTAGTCAGGCAGTCAGATTTCTTTCCTGGCAGCTGGCATCCCCCACAGTGAAAGCAGAAGCAGCCAGTCTCTTAAAGGCTAAGTCCAAAACTGGCAGAGTCACTTCTGCCACATTTTATTGGCTAAAGCAAGTCACGAGGCCAACCCAGATTCAAGAGAAGGGAAGGAAGACACCACCTCTTGGGGAAAGTGGCAAAGATGATCTGCCACAGCTGATGAAGTGTCTCTTTTGAGAAGAGTGGACACAGAGAGCCTGGAACAAACCAGACAGTGTTCACTGGATCTCCTGGCCTTGCGCCCTTCCTTCAAAGGCATGAGGACTGACTGCAGCTGTAGGGCTGGGCATTGACAGAATCAAGGGGGTGAGAGCTCTTTTGGAGTACTCCTTTGTATGGGGAGTCATAGGAGAAAGTGAACAGACCCCAACCTCATTGTAACCAGGGTGCTGGGCAGCTCTTCCCCCTCCCAATAGAATGACAGAAAAATGGGGTCAACTGAGCTAAAGGGCTCTGGTTAGATCCAAGGGAGTATTTCACTGGCTCATAAGAGAATGAGGAAGGATGGAGAGGGCGGTGAACCCTCTGGCTTGGACAGCTCTGCAGATGCCATTTCAGTCCTGGCCATAAGAAATCCTGGAGTGAATATGCTTGCCAGTATTGGGCACACTGGATGCACAATAGCTCAGACACCATTGTTGCCTTCGGGAAGCCTAAGTCTTCAGAGAGACAAAACGTGTACATGAAAAACCCAGGACCCACATCCTAGAAAGTCCTACACTGACCAGAACTGTGTCCCAATGCCTCTAGAGCAAGTACTTTGCACAATCAGAATGCAATATGGCAGTGTGGGCTGGAGTTATTCTGGGAAGTTAGAGGCAGAGGAATGGCATGAATGACCATACATTAGGGGCTTCCAACCCCCTGATTCCCTCTTTCTCGGGCTTACTCCATTTCTCCTTTGGGTTTTCTTCCCATAATGCTGTGTTCCCTGCATATAGCAGTGATGGGGGTCTGCTCTGTATGCAGCAAGGATAGCAGGTCCCTTTGCCCAGAGCTCCTCACTTCCCCCTTCCACACCCTCTCCCCACCCCCGTGTTCCCAGGATCAAGCAGTGCACTGCTGTGAACATGGAGGACCTGGTGGTGGCCCACCACGAAATGGGCCACATACAGTATTTCATGCAGTACAAGGACTTGCCTGTGACCTTCCGGGAGGGTGCCAACCCTGGCTTTCACGAGGCCATTGGGGACGTGCTGGCCCTCTCAGTGTCTACCCCCAAGCACCTATACAACATCAACCTGCTGAGTAGCGAGGGTGGCGGCTATGGTGAGAGAGGACCGGGAGATCCTGGTGGGTGGGGGATCAAGAAGGGGCAGTGAGCTTGGGAGGTGGGGAGAGGGGACTTAATGGCCACAGGCAGAGGTTGGTACAAAGAAATGGGGAATAATGGGGCCACCAGCAGGGTGAGCCGGGAGGATGGAACCCACAGACCTGTTAGAGGCAGGTCACAGGACCCAAAGAGTTTCAGCCCACTCCTCCCTTCTCCACCCATCGCACATCCATCATGGCCGAGCTGCTAGGACATGGCAGGAGGCAGGCACAGATCTGACAACTGGGCTCCCTTCTCTTGGCAGAGCAAGACATCAACTTTCTGATGAAGATGGCACTTGACAAGATCGCCTTTGTCCCCTTCAGCTACCTCATTGACCAGTGGCGCTGGAGGGTATTTGACAAAAGCATCACTAAGGAGAATTACAACCAGGAATGGTGGAGCCTCAGGTTCTAGAATGCCCCCGTGGGAGTGTGGGTGGAGGAGTCTCCATGGGTGTCTTTGGGTGTCTGTGTGAATGTGCAGGTGCCTGTGCCCTTGTGCACATGCTAAGTGCGTCTGTGTATGTGGCGTCTAGGGTTGTGTGTGTGTGTGTACATACACATGGGTCTTAGTGTGTGTGCGTGTAAGTGATGGGGTATGTAGGGGGTGACTGTGCACAGAGGCACAGCACATAGGGGTCTGGAGTGCCCAGCATAGCCCCTAGATGCAAGGACCATCCTTTAAGTCAAAAACACCAACTCTCCCTGCCTTGATTCTCCCCAAACCCTCCCTTCAACGTATCTTCCTCTCTGACAGGCTGAAGTACCAGGGCCTCTGCCCCCCAGTAGCCAGGACTCAAGGCGACTTTGACCCAGGGGCCAAATTCCACATTCCTTCAAGTGTGCCTTATATCAGGTAACAACGGGAAAGGGAGGAGGGCAGTGCCTGCCACTTAGTGTTCAAACTGCCGTCGCTGTCCTGTCAGGAGCTACCCCTCAGGGCGACCTGAGGGGCCCGGCTGCATGGCACACTGTGCCTGGGCCACACGCCTGCAACCAAGGCTGACCGTTGTTTCTCTCTTTTGATATGACGAGAGCCTCTACCCTCCAGACAGCTGAAAACAGAAACTCCACCATAACTGGCTAATGGTTACAAGACCATTAATGGTTCGTTAACATTAACCATGTCCCATGGCTAGGTCATGACCTGAGCGCTATTCGCTTTTGTTTTGTTTTTTAAGCAAGATTGTGATTCCTTTACTACATATTGAACGTATTGCCTAATTTGAGTTGTACCTGGAAGACCTCCTATACACTAAAGCTAGGATTAGAGACCCAGTTAGACTGGGAGGCTGTGTTGTTAGGGACATGGGGTCACAGGCTTGGGGTCACACAGAACTGGGTTCAAATCTCATCTCCACTACTTTGTTTCCTTGAACAAATTCTTCAGTGTCTGTGAGCATGAGTTTCCTCACCTGTGAAATCCCATTTCACAGGATTGCTGCAAGAGTTAACTTCTTAGCATACTTGGCGTACACAGTGTGTTTGGGAAATGGTGGCCACAACCTACCATTATTAAATTCCTCTCTTAAATGGAATGCCTCAACATACTGGCGCTGTGAGTCATGCAGCCAGCCCAGTCTCTTTCCTTCTACGTGCTGCAGCAGAGCACTTGCTGAGGGCTAGGAAGGGTAATTATAGGATCTGGAGGAAAGGATCAGGGGAGACCTTAGGGTGAGGTTCCAGGTGCCCCTGGGCTACAAATAGCTCAGGCCGCTGTGAGGCAAGGTGCAGAGGGCAGTGATGCCTGCCCCAGGAGGGGTGTGGCCACCTCCAGCGCTTGTCTGGTGGTCCTTGAAAGCCCAGCGAGAGAGGGCTCATGCCCACCATGGCCACCTTTCCACCCTGGCACCTGGCATGACGTCAGCACATAGTCAAGACCTAATAAATAAGTGTGGGGTGGGTGAATTCTGTCCCCCAGAGTCCAGGAAGAGAGAGAAAGCCTGCTCAGATGCTCCAGAGAGCAGAAGTGGGCAGGAGACCAAGGAGACTCAAGGGCACCTTGGAACAGGCCTGACTTGGACAGTGCCCCAGGATGACCTGTAGGAAGGGCCTCCACCTGCCTTCTCGACTGGCTTCCAGGCTTCCAAGCTGGCACTCACTTTCACACAGAGGCCAGGCCCATGTGATGGTTAGCTTCCGAGCTTAGCACAGATAATTCTCTGGGCAGGGTGGGCAAAGGAAATACATTACAAATTCTGACCAGCAGCCTTGGCAAAGAACTTTTAGAAAAAGCCAGGAAAGTCAGTGGCACTTGGCTTGTGCCCAGCATTCAAAGTAGGAGGACTGTTCTGCCAGTTTGGGACGTTCAAAACCTCTCCAGGGCCAGCCCCGTGGCTTAGCGGTTAAGTGCACACGCTCTGCTGCTGGCGGCCCGGGTTCAGATCCCGGGCGCGTACAGACTCACTGCTTCTCTGGCCATGCTGTGGCCGCGTCCCACATACAGCAACTAGAAGGACGTGCAGCTATGACATACAACTATCTACTGGGGCTTTGGGGGGAAAATAAATAAATAAATAAAATTATAAAAAAAAAAAAAAAAACCTCTCCAGACTTGGAGAGGTTGCTCTGGCCGTGACTGGCAGATTTCTACCAGGGAACTCCTGCTTCTTTGGGATAAAGGAGATTATTTGGGCTGGCTTCCCTGCCCAGACCACCCTGCCAGATACATGTGACCCTTTGGGCAACTCCTGGCCTCTACTTGCATGTACCCCAGGGACAGAGACCTCACTGCCTCCAAAGCAGCCTGCGAAATCTCTGAAGTGCTCTGCCCTGACCCTCCTCCCCCATGAGTGACCCCCCAGAGCTCCTCAAAGCAGGCCCTTCCAAGACGTGGAGGCAGCCTCACACGTGGGAGGTGTGAAAGGGGCCTTGATGACTCTGAGGGCCAAGGTGGGCTCGCCCTGACATCCTGACTGCAGTGGGAGGTGGGAGGTGGCTGGGGCTCAGCGGCACCGGCCCCTCAACCACCCCGCCCCATGCCACACCTTCCCTCCACTGCAGGTACTTTGTCAGCTTTGTCATCCAGTTCCAGTTCCACGAGGCACTGTGTCAGGCAGCTGGCCACAAGGGCCCCCTGCACAAGTGTGACATCTACCAGTCCAAGGAGGCAGGGAAGCGCCTGGCGTGAGTCTTCTCTGGCCTTCTTTTGACTGTTTTCCACGCTCTGACCTACTTCCCTCAGCCTTGAGGAGCCCAGTGGGGCTCTTCTGGGAACACCTGCCATTTTGGCGCTTGGGCTGGGTACTCCCAGAGGAAGCCTGTACCACACCTTGGTGTGCCATCTCTAGTAGGGAGCTAGAGCCCTCTGGGCCTGCGTCATCCCTCCCACCCCCCACCCCCACCCCCAGACCTGCCCAGGCCCTTCCAATCCCTAAGGGAAGTTCAGGCTAGGAGATGGGGTGTGGAGGAGGGGGTATTAGGTCGGGGCAAGAGGGGCAGTGAGCCTCCTCACCTGTCCTTCTGACTCGGTTTCCCTTCTCTGGTGCTCCCCCAGGGACGCCATGAAGCTGGGCTTCAGTAAGCCGTGGCCGGAAGCCATGAAGCTGATCACGGGCCAGCCCAACATGTCCGCCTCAGCCATGATGAACTACTTCAAGCCGCTCCTGGACTGGCTCCTCACGGAGAACGGGCGGCACGGGGAGAAGCTGGGCTGGCCGCAGTACAACTGGACGCCCAACTCCGGTACCACCACCTACCCCACCTCAGCCCCACTAGTCCCTGAGCTTGCTCAGGGCTGGGCCCCCTCCCCAGTTCAGGCAGGTTCAAGTCTGACCTCAGAGCAAGGAGAGGGAAGCCGGCCTAAATGAGCCCCAGCCCTGCCCGCCGCCTGCCCTCCACCCTGTTCTCCTTGCTTCCCCTGCCCAGCTCGCTCGGAAGGCTCCTTCCCGGGCACCGGCCGCGTCAACTTCCTGGGCCTGAACCTGGAGGAGCAGCAGGCCCGCGTGGGCCAGTGGATGCTGCTCTTCCTGGGCGTCGCCTTGCTGGTGGCCACTGTGGGCCTCACCCAGCGGCTCTTCAGCATCCGCCACCACAGCATCCACCAGCCCCACCGTGGGCCCCAGTTCGGCTCCGAAGTGGAGCTGAGACACTCCTGAGATGACCAGGCCAGGCCAGGCCTGCCGGGGAGCGTCCACCACTGAGAGACTTGGGTGGGGGCATGGGGTGGGCCGAGGACCCGCAGCTCCTGTCACGCCTCACCCCAGCCCGCCCTCCTCCTCCTCCAGCCCCGTCCCTCCTCCGCCCTCCACCTCCAGTCCTGTGCTGAGAATCCGTCCTCCAGACCACGAGCCACCGCAGCCCCTGCCCCCCAGGCCCTGGGCACCAGGCCGCCTCCATGGAGCCCCCTCCCAGTCTCTCTGTGAATACAATTAAAGGTCCTGCCCTCCCCATCTGAGTCTGTGTCCCTCACGGGGAAGCCAGGGACAGGGACAGGGACACTCTCCCACCTCCTGGCAGTCAAGCGGGTCACTTCACTGGGTGTCTTTATCCTCCTCCAAGAAGAGCCTGGGAAAATGCCCCAGAACCCTGGCCCCAGCACCACCCGGTGCCCACTCCTGTCTTGCCTCTAGGCCAGGCAGCCTGCCAGTGTCCTGCCATGGCAGGCAGCCCCTGCCCGGCCTGGGCACCAACCCAGAAGGATTCTGGGAAGCAAAGTGGGAGCTGACCTTCTGGGCTACCGGTCTTATATTTCCGTGTGCTGTGGGAGCCCTGCCCCATACTGGCGCCCTGCCCCAGCTGTTCCCATAAGTGGCTGGGTCCCCAGATGGAAGGCTCCTGGCTGTCCTCTGGTTCCCTGGGGAAGAGTATCTTGCAAGTGCCTGACTCACTGAGGGGGCAGAACTGGCCCTGTGGTCACCTCAGGCTCCTGCCTGCACCAGCTCCATGTCCACTTGTGAAAGTGGACAGAACCACTCGAGTATTGCCCACGGTCCCAGGGCCAGGTCCCTTCGCCCCAGCTGGAGAAGGGCCCTAAATCCTGGAGCATGGCAGTAGCCAGCCCCCATGCGGGGATTAACTGCCAGAGGCCACCTCCCTGTCCCCCGGCACACGCCCTCACCCTGAGCCTTCCCTCGGAAGGCCAATATGGGTTTGAAGGAGTATCATTTTGAGGGCCATTTTTATAACTTTTATCTACATGTTTATGATAGAAAATTTGTAAAATACAGAAAACTATAAAGAAAATAAACGTCCTTTATATCAACACCAAGAGATAAGCACTGTTGACATTCTGGTATATACCTTTCCAGCCTTTTTTTTCTCAGCACATATTTTAAATGGGATCACACTGTATTTATAGAGGTGTGTCCTTTTTCCAGTTAACATGACTAGATCTATTTTTCAGATATTTATATGCCAAACTTGGAACCTGGCCAAAGGGAAGTCGGTCAGTTTTCTGGGGCCAGAGGCTTCCACTGCCAGCCTGGCCCCCTCTGTCAGGACCCTGAGCCTCTTCCTGGCCTTGCTGGTACCTTGACCCCAGCCAGGCCCAGCCCCCAATCTCTGTCCCCCAATATCCTTTAGTCCACAGTTTTTGCCCCCCCAATCTCCAGCTGCCATTGTGTGTGTCTGTATCTGTATATCTGTGTGTGTGTGTGTTTGCATCTGTGTGTGAGCATGTCTGTGTATACATCTGTTTGTGTGTGCGTTGCACGTAGACTTGGCTGTACAGGCCTGTTCCATGGGGCAGGATGTGGAGTTGAGGTATTTGAGATATGCAAGAGGGTGGAAGTTTACAATTACTTAGGACAATGGAATTTATAAACATATCCTCTAAATAGTTCCAAGCCTTCTTCTACCAAAGATTTCTTTAATTACCCCCTCCCCAGCCTGATGTTTTGAAAGCTCTCTGTCTGCCAGACAAAGGTCATTGTCACATCACCCTCTTTCCTATCCTTGTGAACTGCAGAGGTTCATGCTGCCTCTCAGAGCTTGCGGGCAGTGTGAGGGCCCTGGCATTCAACACCCAAAGGTCTGAGCTGCAGAATGAGGGCAAAGAAACTTTACATTGTGGTCAGCCTAACCAGCCTCATCCACTAGGCCTTTTGAAATATTAAAATTGTTCAGGCTCCTGTTTCTGCTTCCTTGGGTGAGTGAGGAGAGGCCTGGTCTAGGTAGCAGAGGGGAAGGAGGTAGTGACAGTGGGAAGAGGGGCCATTCCAGCATTTTCTACCAGTGGCCTGAAGTCTGAGCCCTTCTCTGTGCTGCTCCTGCCAGGCATTGGTTCCTGGGTGACCAGCTCTTACCTATGCTGACCAAAGGTGGTTATGGTTGCTGGACAGCTTCTCTGATCCCCCCACCTCCTCTTAATCCCCACCCTTCCTCCAATTGCCCGCACCCATCCCAGCCCACTCGGCTGGAACATGAGTGAATCCAGTGGCTTTGGATTAGACCTGAGCCAAAGCCCACCTCTGCACTTACTCTCTATGTGACCTCAAGTGCTTTACTTCCATTTTCTGAGCCTCCATTTTCAGTTCTTATAAACTCTCTCATGATTGCTGAGATCAAATGAGATAACATAGAAATTCCTAGTACATAGTTTCCTCTCTATAATGAATGCATCAGCTCCTGTTAAAGATTGTTTTATATCTGCCTTAAGCTTCAAACATCCCCAGTGGCAGACTGTGAGAGCTGGAAGGTCAAGCTGAGATCAGCCTCTCACTAGACAGATGGAGAAAGAGGTCCAGAGCAGTTCACTGACAGCTGGATTGAACGCTCGCCTCTCCTGATGTGCCTTCAGGAAACTTCCTCATGGTTCCCGCACCGTTGACAGTTTTCTTCCTGGGAGTGCAATGAGCTTGTTCACCTGGGGCACTCAGCTTCCTTCCATTCTGGAAACGCTCAGCCACCATCTCTTTGAATTTCGCCCTTCCTCATCCTCTCCGTTCTCATCTTTGGGACTCTTACAGACCTTGCTTGGAGTTTTCTATTTTGTCCTCTGTGTCTCCTAATTCTAGCTCGTATTTCTCCTCTCTTTCTCTGCCCTGTGCGCCAGGCAATTTCCCCAGCTTTGTCTTCTCAGGCCTTAATCCTGCCTTTCAGCCTACTGCTTAACCCATCCATTGAGATTTTTGTTTTACCAGTTTAATAACTATACTTTTCATTTCTGTATCTCTATTTCTTTCAAACTGCCTGTGTTTTCACAAAAGCCTATTCTTGCTTCACAAGTTCTTGTTCCTTCTCTTAACACTTTAAAGACATGTATTTTTAAAAAATTGTGATAAAATGTATATGACATAAAAAGGACCATTTTAACCATTTTTAGGTGTACAGTTCAGTGGCATTGAGTACAGTCATATTGTTGTGCAACCATCATCATCATATGTGTTCAAGTCCCTGCCTTCAATTCTTTTGAGTATATACCTCAAATTGAAATTTCTGGATCATATGATAATTCTATAATTTTTTGTTGTTGTTGTTTGGTGAGGAAGATTAGCCCTGAGCTAACATCCAATGCCAATCCTCCTCTTTTTTTTCTGAGGAAGATTGGCTCCGGTCTAACGTTTGTACCCATCTTCTTCTACTTTATATGGGATGCCGCCATAGCTGGCTTGACAAGCGGTGCATCAGTGCGTGCCTGGGATCCGAATCTGTGAAGCCTGGGCCGCCAAAGTGGAGCGCGCGCACTTAACTGCTACGCCACCTGGCTGGCCCCTATAATTCTATAACTTTTTGAGGACCAACAATATTATTTTCCACAGTGGCCGCACCATTTTATATTCCCACCAGCAATGGACAAGAGTTCCAACTTCTCCACATGTTGGCCAATACTCGATGTTTTCTGGGTTTTTTAAATAATAGCCATCCAATGGTATCTCATGGTTTTGATTTGCATTTCCCTAATGATTAGTGATATTGAGCATCTGTTCAAATGCTTATTATCCATTTATATGTCATCTTTGGAGAGATGTCTGTTCAAGTCCTTTATCCATCTTGGAATTGGGTTGTTTGTTTATTCATTGTTGAGTTTGGGGATTTCTTTATATATTCTGGATATTAATCACTTATCAAATATATGATTTGCAAACATTTACTTTCATTCTGTGGGTTGCCTTTTTACTCTGTTGTTAGTGTCCTTTGATGCACAGAAGTTTTTACTTTTTTTTTTTTAATTTATTTATTTTTTTCCCCCAAAGCCCTAGTAGATAGTTGTATGTCATAGTTGCACAGCCTTCTAGTTGCTGTATGTGGGATGCGGCCTCAGGCATGGCCGGAGAAGCGGTGCGTCACTGCGCGCCCGGGATCCGAACCTGGGCCGCCAGCAGCAGAGTGCGCGCACTTAACCACTAAGCCACGGGGCCGGCCCAGAAGTTTTTACTTTTGATGAAATCCATTTGTCTGGTTTTTCTTTTGTTGCCTGTGCTTTTGGTGTCACGTCTAAGAAATCATTGCCAAATCCAAAGTCGTGAAGATTTTCCTCTCTTTTCTTCAAAGAGTTTTATAGTCTCAGCTCTTAGGTTTAGGTCTTTAATCGTAATTTTTGGGTTAATTTTTGTATATGATATAAAGACTGTATTTTAATCCTAATGTATATGATATAAAGACTGTACTTTAATCCTAATTTTTGGGTTAATTTTTGTATATGATATAAAGACTGTATTTTAAGTCCCTTTCCAATTGCTCTAAGACCTCTCCTTCTTCTGGTGTGGTCTACTCCATTCGTTGTGTCTGTAGTTTTAGCACAGGCTCCAGAACCAAACCATGTGGATTTGAGTCACATCTCCATTTGCTGGCTATGTGACTGTGAGCAAGTTCCTCAACCTCTCTGTGCCTCCATATCCTCATCTGTAAAGTGGGGTTGTCAATCACAGCACCTACCTCATGGGTTTGTTGTGAGGATTCATATACTAAAAGCCCTCAAAGGGTCTCTAGCACCTGGAATGTGCTCAGTGGGGGCTAGGGATCATTACTGACCCTCATGGCATTGGTAATCTTGACCTATGAGCCATCTGCAGTGTGAACAGCCTCCTGCATGGTCCCATGTACACACCAGGTTGTGAAGATGTCCCCAGGGTCAGTTTCTTTCTTTCTTTTTTTTTTTTTGTGAGGAAGATCAGCCCTGAGCTAACATCCATGCCAATTCTCCTCTTTTTTTGCTGAGGGAGACTGGCCCTGGGCTAACATCTGTGCCCATCTTCCTCCACTTTATATGGGACGCCGCCACAGCACGGCCTGAGAAGCGGTGCGTCGGTGTGTGCCAGGGATCCGAACCAGGGCTGCCAGCAGTGGAGCACGCACTTAACTGCTACGCCACAGGGCCAGCCCCAGGGTGAGTTTCATGGTTGCTTCTTGCAGGCCCCCTGGGAAAGGAAGCCATCTGCTGGCTCTCAGTTTCATGGAGGCATTACTTCCACCGTGGTCAACTATCCCCACATGGGCACCAATGCTGCAGCCCTTTGGGCGTGGATGCACTCTGATCTCCCACGTGGATGCCCCCACTCGCTGCTGCATGAGCCCTCTTTGTCTCCCCAGCATCTGAAGAGTTCCCTTTCTTACATTCCGTCTCAGCTCTGTATTTTGCCTTTTAAAAAATACTATGATTTGACCCCAAATAGCCAAAGTAATCTTGAGAAAGAAGAACAAAGCTGGAGGCATCACACTTACTGATTTCAAACGATATTACAAAGTTACAGTAATCAAAGCAGAATGGCATTGGCATAAAAACAGACACGTAGATCAATGGAACAGAATAGAGAGCCCAGAAATAAACCCACACATATATGGTCAACATATTTACAACAAAGGAGCCAGGAATATACAATGGGGAAAAAGCAGTCTCTTCAATAAAAAGTATTGGGAAAACTGGACAGGCACATGCAAAAGAATGAAACTGGACCACTATCTTACACTATATAAAAAAATTAACTCAAAATGGATTAAAGGCTTGAATGTAAGGCTTGAAACCATAAAACTCCTGGAAGAAAACATAGGAGTAAGTTCCTAGACATCAGTCTTGGCAATGATTTTTTGGATTTGACACCAAAAGCAAAAACAAACAAATGGGACTACATCAAACTAAAAAGCTTCTGTACAGCAGAGGAAACCATCAACAAAACAAAAAGGCAACCTACAGAGTGGGAGAAAATATTTGCAAATCATGTATTAGATAGGAGATTAAAATCCAAAATATATAAAGAACTTACACAACTCAATAACAAAAAAATAAACAAACCAATTTAAAAATGGACAGATAATTTGAATAGACATTTTTCCAAGGAAGACATACAGATGGCAATTCCACTTCTGGGTATTTATCTGAAGAAAATGAAATCATTATCATGAAAAGATATCTGCACCCCCATGCTCATTGCAGCATTATTTACAACAACCAAGACATGGAAACAACCTAAGTGTCCATCAACAGATGAATGGAAAAAGAAAATGTGGTGTATATATATACAATGAGATACCATTCAGCCACAAAAAAGAAGGAAATCCTGCCATTTGCGACAACATGGATGGAACTTGAGGGCATTATGCTAAGTGAAATAATTCAGGCAAGCAGAGAAACACAAATACTGTGTGATATCACTTATATATGGAATCTAAAAAACAAAAAACTGAACTCATAGAAACAGAGAACAGATTGGTGGTTGCCAGAGGCAGGGGGGCAGGGGTGGTGAAATGGGTAAAGGTGGTCAGAAGGTACAAATTTCCAGTTATAAGATAAATAAGTCCTGGGGATGTAATGTACCACATGGTGATTATAGTTTAAAAAAAAGAAAAGAAAAATACTACGTTTTATCAAGCATGTCTATACGCCTGAAGCAGGAGGAAGGACTTCCCTGAGAGCTCAGTTGGCCAGCTTAACCAGAAGTGTCACTGATTTCTTTTTCTTTCCTCATGTTTTAAATAAATTGTGATCATAACAGATCCTATTTTGGAGGGCTATTTGGTCAGTTTCTCAGGTCATGATGTCAGCTCTCGGAAGGGGTGGGGCGTGTGTGAGGATGTGGGTGCACCTGGGCTGAGGAGGGTGAGTGAAGGGGACACAGGGTGGAGGGAGTCTGGGTGTGGAGGAAAGTGAGTCTAGGAAGGAATCCCAAAGTGAGATCGATGGGCTGGTCTCCCCAGACTATATGTGTCAGGCTACTGAGGAGTCACCAAAGCCTGGCGGAGAGCTGGGGTCCTGCCAGGTGGGGCTCAAACCAGGCTCTGGTACTCACGGACATGCACCCTGAATGGAAGGTGCCAGCCACACCTCCCCACACCCCTCACAGCCCTCTACCTTCTGTGCCTCCCCTTGACTGCAAACTCTCCTGATACAGGGAAGAAGGGCCCTGCACAGCTCTGGGAATGATCACACATCCCTCGCGAGAGAAAAAGGCCAAAAATGTGAACAGAGGAAGTCAAGTCAGAAGAACTTGGAGAGACAACTGTGCTTCCAGAGTCCAGAGACCTAGAGATGTCACTTCCATGCATCTAGCTATCCATCCATCCATCCATCCATCATCCCATCCACCTGCTCAGAGGTGATCCCAGCCTGTGGAGGGAGAGGTCTCATCAATCTCTGGCCAAGGTTCAAGGGCAGCTACAATGCCAGGGAGAAGTGACCAAGTAGAGTGGAACAAGTTGTGGCCTAAAAGTCAAGAGCCCTGGTTCTCCTCTTGGCTCTGCCACTAACTAGCTGTGTGAACTAGGTTGTATGGCTTGACCATTCTGGACCTCAGTCTCCTCACCTGTAAAATGGGGACAGTTGGACCAGAAGGTGAGTGAGGGCTTTCCAGTTCTGACATTCCATGGCTGACCCTTTAGCCCCTGATGTCACAATATGGAGCTGGATCATGATTGGCCCACAGACTCACCCAGCTCTGCTGTTCTCTTGGTCATGGGTGCAAGATGGACTTGCCCTGGACCTTCCCTACTTGTGCTCTTCTATTATGGGCAGCTCTTGCCGTGGCTCAGGACCGAGGGTGATCAGAGCTCAGGTGGGGCTGAGACCTGAAGGAGCATGGGATCAGACAAGGGGACCAGGCAGGGGCAGGCCCCTTGCAGGATAGCATGATGCCCACCCTCTTCTCCACAGACGATTTCTACAATGAGACCATGGCAAAGACGTTCCTGCAGTTCTATGAGAATACAACCCGGGTTGTGTGGAACCAGTTCATGGAGGCCTCCTGGAACTATGTCACCAACATCACCAAGAAAAACCGGGAGGAGATGGTGCGGTACTGCCCCCACCCCAGCCGCTTCTCTCCTTGCTCTTCTCAGGGGTCTCGGAGGGATGGGGGAACCACACCTCCTGCCCCGTGTCTGAAGCTCGAGGAGAGAAGGAAGCCCCAAAATACATGTCGAAGCAGGCTGCAAGCTCCGGGCCTCTTGGTGGCCCTAAATGCTCTCTGGGCAAGAATCTCCTACTTCTTCCCCCTTATAAATATCACCTCCTTGCTTTTAGAGAACCAGGTTCCCTCCCTTCTCCCTCTTAGTGAATCTTCAATGATTCTCAACCCTTAAAGTGGGCTTTAGGAGGAGGCTGGGGACCGTGGCCCTGGAGTTGTATGTGGAACCGTTACTCCCTCCGCCAACCTCTCACAACAAACATGGTGACCCTCCTTCCAGCTGCACAAGGACATGGAGAGGTCCCAGCATATGCTGTTCTTTGGCACCCGAGCCCGCCTGTTTAAGATTGCCAGGTTCCAGGACCCAGTCGTGAAGCGCATGCTGAGTAAGCTGCAGAACATAGACAAGGCGGCCCTGCCCAAGGACGAGCTCCGGGAGGTGATGGAGGGAGCCCCCAGGTCTCCAGGCACATGCTCCCCAGCCAGGGGTGGGTGGGCTGGCTGGATGGGGAGCCAGAGTTTCTGGGCCAGGAGGGAGGTTGGTGGGGCAGGGTCAGAGCTTCCTCTGGGGGAGGAGAAAAGCAGAGGCCGGTGGGAAGATGCCTCAGCCAGGCCGGCCTCTCCCAGCTGGTGGGGCAAGTGCTGGGGGTGGGTCCATGGGCACGGGCCTGCCCTGGGTGACACCTGCCCCCCAGTACAACAAGATTCTGGCCTACATGGAGACGACGTACAGCATGGCCCAGGTGTGCCTGAATGAGGGTCCCTGCCTGCCCCTGGAGCCTGGTGAGCACCCAAGCCCTGCTCCTTGCCCAACCAGTCTCCAGCACCAACACCTTCCAGGAGTCTCCCAACTCCCACCCTCCTCCCTGCCCCAACTGTGCTCCTTTGTTGGGTGGGTGGGAGCAGCCTAGGGTGGTGAGACCATGTGGGGGTTGGGGTACCACCTTGGCTCCTCTTCTGGGCACAGACCTCGAGGAAGTCATGGCCACATCCCGGGACCAAAAGGAGCTCCTGTGGGCCTGGCAGGGCTGGCGGGATGCTGTGGGTCGCCAGCTCCGCATCACCTTCGAGCGCTATGTGCAGCTCAGCAACAAGGCTGCGAAGCTCAATGGTGAGGGCCGCCCCCCCCCCAGCCCGCCCACACACACACACCACCACCACCAGCCAGACCAGCCTGAGCAGATGGCACATCGCAGGAGTCTCCGAGCAATGCCTGGGAAAGGCAAAGCCCAGTCTGCAGAGGGGAAGGGCAGCGGTAGGACTTGGCAGCGGTAGGACCTGGAGGCGGGAACCTGAGCCCTGCAGCTGGCGAGGGCAAAAGTGGTCCATTCACTGTGTTGTTCCACAAACACTTATTGAGCACCTACTATGCACGGGTGCTGGGGAGGTTCTGAGGATGCATAGGTGAAAAGACAGAGCAGGCGCCTGCCCTCCTGGGCTCACAGTCCTCTGGGAGGCAGACAGTATTCATGCAAACACACATCTCCAGTTAGCACCCAGGACGAAGGCTGAGAAGGAAGGGGCTGCTGAGAGAGAGAATCAGGAGACACCTGCTTCGGATAAGTGGTCAGGGAAGGCCCGAAAGATGGGAACAAGCCAGGCAAGCAGGAAGTGAAAAAGCATCCCTGGCTTGGCGATGGGAGCAGCCAGTGTTTGGGAGGATTTGAAAGAAGCCGGTTCAGTGAGGGCTTGGATGGGTGAGGCTCAAGGCAGGTGAGAGAGGACACAGGGCCCTATCCAGGCCATTTCCAACCAGGCTCAGTGAGGAGTACAGAGCGTGTACTTTGCTAAATGCTTTTCCACCCTGATCTCATCCGATACGGACAGTGGCCTTAGGAGGTATTTTTCCCATTTGGCAGATGAAGACCCCAAGGATCAGGGAGATCAAGTGGCTTCCCTCAATGGTGCCTGTGTCTCCCACCGGCCAGGCCAGGGCTGAAGAGTGGGGTGAGCGCTTCTGAGCCCCCTTTCCTGTCCTAGGTTACGTAGACATGGGGGCCTTGTGGCGGTCCAAGTATGAGTCTGACACACTGGAGCAAGACCTGGAGCAGCTCTACCGGGAGCTGCAGCCGCTCTACCTGAACCTGCACGCCTACGTGCGCCGGGCCCTGCACCGCCACTACGGGCCCGAGTTCATCGACCTAAGGGGGCCCATCCCTGCCCACCTCCTGGGTAAAGCCCCAGCTGGGCTGGTGACAGAGGTGGGGCAGGCAGAGGAGGCCCTCAGCAGATGCCCAGGAAAGAGAGACATGGTCTCCCGCCTCCTCTTAGCCCTCCCACTCCCTTTCCAGGGAACATGTGGGCTCAGTCCTGGGTCAACATCTTAGACCTGGTCCTGCCCTTCCCAAAGAAGCCCCCTGAGGACATCACGAAGATCATGAGAGGACAGGTCAGTGCTCGGCCTCTGTCTGCCCCAGCCCGCTCCGCACCCCTGGGCAGCGCCCACGCACCCTCTCTTCCCCACAGCACTGGAAGCCTAAGAAAATGTTCATAGAGGCTGAAAGATTCTACACCTCCCTGGGGCTGCTTCCGACCCCTCCCGAGTTCTGGAAAAATTCCATGATGGAAAGGCCAACCGACGGGAGGGAGTTGGAGTGCCATGCCTCTGCCTGGGACTTCTACAACAGCAAAGACTTCAGGTGCTCCCCCTGCAGCCCACACCACACTCCTGCCCCCCTGGCCCTTCCTCTGCTCCTTCCGCTCTCTACCTGATTGCCTGTCTGCGGAGGTGTGTACAAGTGGTGGTGGGCAGGGTGGGAGCCAGGGCAATGTGGGAGAGGTGGGTGTGAGAGTGTAGGGCTCGGCCACTGGGTGGATATGGGGCCTGGAGTGAGAAAGGACAGCAACCAAGGCCCTGCTGGTCTCCAGCCCAATCAGCCCAGTTCCTTAGTAGAGTCTGAATGGAGAAATCTCCCCTTCTCCCAGGGCATCCCCATGCTCCTTGACCCCTGCCCTTTAACCCTAGGATAAAGAAGTGCACCGAGGTGACCATAGAAGATCTGCTCTCCATCTTCCACCAGATGGGCCATATCCAGTACTTCCTGCAGTACAGGAACCTCTCCGTGATCTTCCGTGCAGGCGCCAACCCAGCCTTTGAAGAGGCCGTGGGGTCGGTGATCACCCTCTCAGTCTTCTCCCACAAGCACCTGCTCAACAGAGGCCTGGTCAGCCACCAGCACCAGGACTCCGGTAATGGGGACCACAGGAGGGCAGCTCATGCCTGAGTTGCAGCTAGGGATCTCCAGGCAGGGCTGAAGGGAGAGAGAACCAGGAGCCACCACCTGACTGCCCCACCTTCCCCAGAGGAGGAGGTCAACTTCCTGATGGGCATTGCCCTGGACAAGATCGCCTTCATTCCCTTTGCCTACCTGATGGACCTGTTTCGCTGGAAGGTCTTTGATGGCACCATCCAGAAGGACGTCTACAACCAGGAGTGGTGGAACCTCAGGTGGGGAGGACCACTGCCCAGGGCTCTCTGCCCCCCTCCCACCTCTGGTGTGGGTGGGGCTTTCAGGTCAGCCTCAAGGGTACCACCTGTTGCCATAGAGTGCTGCTCCCTCTCCTCTGAGGGCAGAGCTGGGTGCACAATGCTGGTGACCTGGGGGCCATGGGGAAGCCCCAGGACAGTGTCAGCTGTTTGCTATCACCAGACAGAAGCATCCCTGCTGAAGTGGATAGGGCCAGCGTGGGCATCATGAGGCCTCGTGTTGAATCTGCACCAGCACTGAGCAGGCCTCCGACCTCTCTAGGGATCCTGGTGGTGGCCCTATCTAACCCGTGGGTGACTGGAAAGCTCACACAATGGTTGCATCTGGGCTCCTCCAAGAACAGACCACTGATCACGGGGCCGGCCGTCCTGCTTCTCCCCTCCCTTTCTGTTCCCACCAGTGGGACCAGCAGAAGAGGGGTTTGGGGGCCGGCCCTGTGGCTTAGCGGTTAAGTGCGCGTGCTCCGCTACTGGCGGCCTGGGTTCGGATCCCGGGCGCGCACCAATGCACCGCTTCTCTGGCCATGCTGAGGCCGCGTCCTACATACAGCAACTAGAAGGATGTGCAACTATTACATACAACTATCTACTGGGGCTTTGGGGAAAAAAAAAAAGGGAGGAGGATTGGCAATAAATGTTAGCTCAGAGCTGGTCTTCCTCAGCAAAAAGAGGAGGATTAGCACGATGTTAGCTCAGGGCTGATCTTCCTCACACACACAAAAAATAAATAAATAAATAAAAAGAAGAGGGGTTTGGGAGCCTGAGCTCTTTCTCTCCTGTGGAAAGAGTCCCCTTGAGAGAGAGGCAAGCCCACTGCTCCCCTTCCTGCTGCCCCAACACACACGCACACCTGCCTCAGGCTTAGCGTCCCCAGGCATGTCAAAGATGAGAGCTGGCTGCTGAAGGAGTCCACCAGCAGTCAGGCAGCATCATCTTGAGTAAGGGACACCTGCGTGGCATCCCATCACCAATCCCCGGCCATTTGATTTGATAATAAATGCCCATGGCCAGGGCTGCATCTCCACCAGGCCTCAGACTGACCGGCTCAAGTCTACTGACCACAGTGTGGTTTGGGGCAACCGTGAAGGGCCTGCTAGCTCTGCACCAGGCCCTTATATTTATTTGAACCTTTAAAACAACCCATGGACATTCACAGAAGAATGTGTGACCAGCCCGCAGTCACAGAGCAACACAGGGGTGGCAGAGGGGGACACACCTCTCTTTGTCCTCTCACCCTCCCGCCCCACCCTGAATTCAGGACCAGGTCTCACTGGTGGAATTGGCAGAGTCTTGACCTTGTGCCCTACCAGGGGCACCCCCCACCAGCCATGTGAGGCACCTGCAGGGATCTTCCTCCTTCCTCTGTCCCCCACACCCACCACCCCCCAAATGATGGAGACCAGGGGCTGAGGGAGAGGGGAGGCGATACCCTGGGCCTTGAAGAGCCCCTGTCATCTGGGAGAGGAAGCTCCTGACTCTCTGTCAACCCCAGAGGAGGGCTCAGAGGCTTCAGTGAGCCAACAATAAAATGATGAGCCTTTTGATAGACTTTGTCTCATCCCAAAGATGGGTCATTTTATCCCTATTTTACAGACAACATTGTACAACAACACGGCTCAGTGACAATCAGTGACTTTCCCACAGTCATACAGCTCAGAGGGGCAAAACCAGACCTGAACTTGAAAGTTATTGGGGTCTGCCAGTTCTGCATCCTGCCACCAGCTCCCTGATCTCTAAACTTTGGTTTCCTCATCTGTAAAATGGGAATAACTATGGTACCAGCCAGAGGGATGTTACTCTGTTTTCTTTTCAGCACTTCTTACTAGAGGAAATGACCTTGTGGGTTGGTCTACAACATCCCCCATCATTAGGATGCAATCAGGGACCTCACTTAGCTCATCCCCTCCAGAACCAGGACAGTGTCAAGTGAGCGGTGTGGAGAGCTCAGCACGGTTCCCAGCACAGAGGAAGTGCTCAGTCAGTGTTAACAACTTATTATTTCATTCTGATTCCCAAACCCATGAGTTTTCAACTCACTTATTTAATCAATAAAAGTGCATTAAGTGTGCCCCTCAAGCCAGGTCCAGTCGTGACAGCCAGGCTCCAAATGGAAAGGCTCTGAGAACCCCCCCGGGCGGCACTATCAAGGCCCCTGTTTTCCCCGCCAGGTTGAAGTACCAGGGCCTGTGCCCCCCTGTGCCTCGGACAGAGGAAGACTTTGATCCGGGTGCCAAGTTCCACATCTCGGCCAGCGTGCCCTACATACGGTAAAGATCTGGGCCCTGCCGGCAGAACCAACTCTGGGAGTTGGCATGGGAACCAGGCTGAGGATTTCCAAGATGGCCCTAGGTCCAAATGTCCCCCTGTACCCTTCCCATCAGCGCACAGCCTTCTGAGGGCCAAGCTCTGGAATCCTTTGGGCCTTTACATCAGGTCCTGTGTGGAGGGCAGAGCTGATAGGAATATTCTCAAGCATCTCTGCTGTCCCTGAGAGGAGGGCAGGAAAGAGGGAGGCAAGGGTTGGTCCAGAAGGTTAAGGAGGAGAGCCCCGCAGTATTCTAGGGCCAGCCTGTGGTGGGACCTTGCCGAAGGTGCCTCCACCCAGGCTGTGACTGCTGCCGTGGGCCCTCGTGGCCACTGCGTGTCAGAGCTTCCCGGCTCCAAGTGGCCCTGGGCTTCCCACCTCTAACGCCCACTCCCCAGCCTGCCCTCACGTTCCTCCACCCAGGTACTTCCTCAGCCTAGTGCTCCAGTTCCAGCTCCACGAAGCACTGTGCAAGGCCTCAGGCCACATGGGTCCGCTGCACCGTTGTGACATCTATAACTCTAAGATGGCTGGGAAGCTCCTGGAGTGAGTGCCCTCCCCCTCATTTGTTCTCGGTTTCCCCTCCTCCCCTGCTGGAAGCCTGCCCCTGGCCCCCTCTCCTCACCTGGCGGCCCTAGGCACCCTGAGCAGAGCCTCACTGAGCTTATATTCCAGTGGAAGTTCTTCCTTGTGTCAGACTGCAGTCTCTCCTACAGTAATCAAAGGCTATTTCCTCCTTTGTAGCTCCTTGTGGTCAGAGATACTGTTTAGCCCCTCCCGGTAACACACACACGCTCACACACACACACACATTCACACTCGCACACTCAATCTCACACCCACTCTCTTAACAAAGCAACACAATTTAGTATCCTTTGCAAATTTGATGAGCATAGTATTTTTTTTTTAATAATTTTATTTATTTATTTTTTCCCCCAAGGCCCCAGTAGATAGTTGTATGTCATAGTTGCACATCCTTCTAGTTGCTGCACGTGGGACGCAGCCTCAGCATGGCCAGAGAAGCAGTGTGTCGGTGCACGCCCGGGATCCGAACCCAGGCCGCCAGCAGCGGAGCACGCGCACTTAACCGCTAAGCCACGGGGCCGGCCTGAGCATAGTATTTGTGATTCCGCCACGCAGTTTGTCAGGAACCACTGGGCCAGATGGAGTTGCAGGACTGATCCCCTGGCTTTGCTCCCAGGGAGGGCTGCACCTTCCATGCCTAGTGTCTCCTAGGTCTATTTGCTTTTCCATCTTTTCAACCTACAGGGGTTTATTCTAGCCGACTGCCCATGTTTGAGCTTTTCTGAACGTGTGGAACATAAGCAACCTCTCTGTTCTCTGCATTCTTGTCTCTGGCTGCCCATCATTTATTCATTCAGCAAACATTTACTCGTGCACGTGCTGAGCATCCAGCAGGGGGCAATGGACCACAGGATAAATCAATAACCATAACAGAAGAAAGGAGCTGGTGCAGTAAGGGCTTTGGTGAACGTGCAAAGAGGGTGAAGATGTTGTGCAGGGGAACAAGGTGGGGTCTCTGTCCCCAAACACGGGAGTGTCAGAAATAGCAGACATCTGTCTTCTAGATTATCAACTCACTTTAAACTCTGAGTTTCCTCCCACTTGATTGGTGGGACATTTGACCTCAGTCATTCTTGCCACTTTCCCCTCCAACCCCACCCAGATGCACAAGGCTCCCAGGGTCTGACTTGGCACCAAAGCATGGAGAGGCCTTGCCACTCATCACTGGTCACTGCTCACCAGTCCTCACGCGTCATCATCTAGACCCCTGGTCAAGGAAGACCCTGAGTTCCATGTTTAGGACTTTGAACGCCATTTTCTGGGCAGAGGGCAGAGGAGAGGTCTCTGAGAAAGGGGGCTGTCACGAGCTCTGAGGAAGGAGACGGCAGCCAAATGGAATATGGGCTGTGGAGGAGAGAGGGATGGTGAGTGCTTGCAGGGGAGAATGGGAAGGGCAAGATTCTTGGCTGCTCTTTTGCCTAATATATCTTAAAATTTGATGTTGCTCCTTTTGACTCATCTTCCTAAATGTGATTGCCTGGGCCAGCCTCTGGTCTGGTTCTACTGGGAACAGGGGGCTCAAGTGGACTTGGTCCAACCTCCCAAAGTCCCCCTGCCTCACACAGCCAGCCATGGCAGGGCTGACCTTGTCTCTGGGGCCCGCCGCTGCCGCATTGGAGTTGAGGGCTCCAGGCAGCGCCCACTGCCACCTTTGCAAGTCTCGCGTGCTGCCCACGTGGGCCTTCAGCTGGGCTTCGGTCCAACCTCTTGTCCCAGCCTGGGGACTCTTTATAAATAGGCGGATTCTCAGTCCGCCTTTTCCCCACTCAGTCTTTCCTTTTTCCCAGGACCCAGCATCTGATAAAATCCTCTTTAAAATTAGTTGGAAGGTTTTGTTTTTGTCTTTAGATCTTGATGACTTTTCTCCTCCATTTCTCTATGATCTTAACTACATTTTTCCTCAGTGGTTTCTGCCAAGAATCCACTGACCCTTAGTCTCCTCACCTCATTCTTTCCCAGTTGTTTATTAAGTGATGTGTATAAAGTGAGGCTCTGCAGGCTACAAAGCCCTCTTTCACCGCCATTTAGTGACTTTCACCAGGGTGAAAGGCAGGTATTAATGGGGCCCATTTTACTGATGAGGAAACTGAGGCTAAGAGAGGTGAAGTTGATTGCCTGAAGTTATGCAGCCCATAAAAAGCACTGCTGGGTCTTGAACCTGGGTCCTGTTAGTCTAGACTCCACACTGTGACTTCTGGGTCTCTAGGCCCCACCTCTCTCCTGGTCAGCTGGGGAAACAGCAGGTTGAGAAGGATCGACATATGCCTACCGCTGTCTCCGCAGGGGACCCTGGAGTGGAGGAGCCCGGAGCCCTGGCTTCAGCACACTCTGTCCCCTCACCATGAGTGTGCTGGCCAAGCCCGAGCCTCCATCCCCTGCCACTGTGCACTGGGTGTGCCTTGGGACAGAGTGACATTTGTGCAGGCTGTAGGCAGTGACTAGTGACATCCCACGCTCATTCTCTCTAATCCTCCCAAACACTCCCTGTGAGACCAGGAAGGCCTGAAGCGCTGCCTCTCCCTACGACACTGAGCACCACATGGGAAACAGTGTCTCAAGACTTTATGCCTGTTTGAGTCCAGGAAATAATCATCACAGTAGTGGTAATAATAATAATAATAATAATTAGCAGCTCACATTTATTGTCTGCCTACTATGCTCCCAGCGTTATGTTTATTTAATCACCACAACAACCCTGGGAGGTAGGTACTTTTATTATCTCTACTTTATGGATGTGGAAACTGAGGTTCAGAAAGGTTAAGTTACTTGCCCAAGTCCCACAGCTACGGAGTAACAGAGTCAGGATTCAAACCCAGGTTGGTCTTATTTCAAAGCTTGTGATTTTATCCACTATGCTGAGCTCAGTGGGAAGAGTCTGACTAGCAAAGTCCTAGGGCCAGGGTTGGGCATCCTGAGGGGTCCCAGCAGCACCAGCTGAAGCCCCCACACAGCTCACAGCTGTACCCTCTCTCCCAGGGATGTCCTAAAGCTGGGCTCGAGCAAGCCCTGGCCAGAGGTCCTGGAGAAGATAACTGGGCAGACTGAGGTGTCTGCAAAGGCCCTCATGACCTACTTCAAGCCTTTGCTGAACTGGCTGGTCACCGAGAATGTGCGGCAGGGGGAGATCCTGGGCTGGCCAGACTTCAGCTGTTACTTTGAAGGTTTGATAATCTGACCCTGGTCCTAGCTCTGGTCTAGCCCCAAACCCTACCCTAGCCTGCCCCAGGCCAGCCCCTACCCCTACCCAGCCTTAACCCCTAGCCCATCTATGACCTGCCTTGAATGAGCACAGCACTACTGCTGGGTGACCCTGTCTGCACCTGATGCAGCCTTGGCTAAGACCACAGCCCATGCCCCAGCCGCTGGCTCAGTTGCTTCCTTGTGCACTGTCCAGCACAGGGTGGTCACCTTGCCTCCTGACCCTTGCACAGAGCCACTGCTGGGCACCATGGGGTGTGTAGCCCTCTTTGTGTCCACTTCCCCTTCTCTTCCTTCTACTCCTCTTTTTCACCCTTCTTCCAAGGCAATGCCCTTACCTGTGGCTTGGAAGGTAGGTCCCTGAGGCTGAGGGAGAAGGCTAGTGGCAGTTCGATATCTGATCACTACAGGGTACCCCAGGGCCCCTTCCCCAGTTTCACTGCTCTACAAGACTCTCATGTCTTTTGCAGAAAAATACACAGACAAGGTGACATTCCTGAGTCTGGAGCTGGACCCTAACCAGGCCAACTTTGGGCAGTGGGTGTTGCTGGCCCTGAGCTTTGTCATGTTCCTGGTGGCCCTACTGCTGGCTTGCAGGCTGCACTCCCTGGAAAAAAGGTCACTGGCCCAGGATACCAGTATACAGGACACCAATTTACAGGACACTAACACACTCAAGACACCAACCAACACCTACTTCCTAGGCATAGCCATGGAGCCCCGCCAGGCTGTCAAAAGACAGTGGATCCTGCTGGGCCTCTGCCTCATCCTGATGCTGTGCTCAATCAGCCTGACCATTTGGATTTTCACACAGCACAACAGGAAGCCTCCGTGGATGAAAGCTGAATGGTGGAGCTGGGACTAGACACCAGTGTGACTGGTGAGGCTTAGTGGGGCAGGAGGAGGGCAGCCAAGCGAGAGAGGGGTGGAGGGGGATGCTGAAGAGGGGGCAGCTTGCATGCATAGTGCCCAACTGCAATTGGGTACTGTTGTGGCAGATCTGGGTACATGCGGGGTTGTAACTGTGTGTTTGTGAACTCATGTATGCAAGGCCATGTGCACGGGAGACTGACTCTGTGTGATTCCATGTATGTGTGATTCTGGGTCCTGGGCCAACCTCCTTCCTCTAGGGGCTCAGAAACCACAGTTTTAGTGACCCAGTGACTATGTCCCTCCAAACCAGTCCCCACCCCAAGTCATGCCTAGAACTGGTTCATCACACAGACTTGTTTTCTTCAGGAGCCCAACTGGGGCTGGACAGGGACTGCAGTGCCCAAGGAGTGTCTGCTCTGGTTAGAAACAGAACACTGCTTCGTCCCCTTATAAAACGTATTCACGTAGAACCAGACATTCCTGTATAAATCATTGGTGCTAGTTCATGAGAGCTGTGATCTGTATACTGGCGAGCATATCTTTCTGCTGATCCCCTGGCCCGCCTTGCGTTGGGCTGCATAATCCAGCTCCCAAAAGCTGCTTGTTGGCTGCCTGAGATGCAGGGTGCCTTACAAACTGCCCCCCGTCCCTCCCTGCCCCAGTCCAGGCCCTCCCAAATGGAGAGAGTGGGTAGCTGGGCACCAAGCCAGGCTTGATTAATGATTGACTTCTTTAATATTTAAACAAAGCTCATCTCCAGCCACTCCACTCCAGAGATGGCCTTGTTCAACACACACACCTGCCGCCTGGCCTGTTGCCCTGGGGATGAAGCGCAGGGCAAACAGCACCTTCCCAGGCTCAATGGGGGAGGGGAAGACGGGTAGGGAGAGCTGTGGGAAGGACATTTGGGAAATTAGGACTCTAGGAACAAGCCTGAGAAGTGAGAGGGAAGGCTTCAGCTCCTGCCACTTCTAGCCCTTTCTTTCCAGCCTGGGTCTGCTCGCCACAGGGATGCCGCACCCAGTGTGTGAGGATTCACTGAGTTTGGACTGAGGCCCCAGAACTCCTGGGAGGCTGAGAATCAGTGCCTGTTAGAAATCAGGAGAGTCTCGAAGGGAAGTAGCATCACAGTCAGTAACCACAGGGGGAGGCACCAGGGCTGCAGTTGAGCTGGTGGGAGGGTGGCCAAAAGATGGGACCAGCTCTCTCTAGATTAAAGATCTGAGCCCAGAAGTCAGGGGTTCAGGGGACAGAGGGACTGGGCTGAGATCTCCATGGACTCTACCTCTGCCCAGGTTTCAAGAGGTCTTCCTGAGTTCTGGCTGAGCCCAAGCACTTCCTGCTCCGACTGCAGGCTCCACAGCAACCTCATTTGATGGCTCTGTCACTGCTATTACTTTGCTGAGCTGTAATGTCCTTATTTGTCCCCATTACTAGCTGTCGGTTCTGTAAGGGCAGGACACCCATCAGGAGTGTGGCCCCGTGTAACACCTGCAGCCAGCACAGGCCATGGCACATAGAGCAGACTTGGGAAATGTTTGAATGAATGAATAGTGAATGAATGAGTGTCCCACTGCCCAAGTCACTCCTTAGAGCTCAGGTCCTCACACACTGAACCCATGAGAAACAGCCCCATCTTTCCTCCACAGCCAGCCTGCCCTCCCAAACACAGGGGCAGCCAGGACAACTCTGCCCCCGCCAGGAGGCCACACTTGCAGCCCTCCCATCCCCTAGCCACAGTGGCCAGTGAGGCCCCCATCAGGCATTGTGGCTCTGCATGGCAAAGGCACACCCCACCCAGGACTCCAAGCCTCTCACCTGAACTCCAGCAAAACCCCCTCAAGCCTCCTTGGCCATCCTCCTCCCCACTGCCATTGTAAAGTTTCTTTCACCAGAATATTTCCTTCTTGTCTAACTGCTGAAGAACTTGGTTGTCTATCAATTAAATCTAGACTTTCAAAATGGCATCTGAGGGGTTTTATCCCTTTTTCTCCAACCTCACCTCTACTACCCCCTAGCTTAGCCCCTCTGCACTGATTCCACCCTGGGCCCTTGCCTAAGGTGCATGCCCCATTTGAATGCCTGCCCTCCAAGGTCTGGCTCAAAATTGGTCATTGGACCTTCCAAAATGCTCCAAGCCCACTGAGATGCTCCGTGAACAGTGGTCCCCTTCTCTCCCTCCTCTGCGAGAAGCCTCTTTCAATAAACCTCACCCCATTCTCATCTGCTTCTTCTAGTGTATTCATTTTCAGTCTGTACTCAGACACTTTTATCAGTGGCCACTTGCTAATAGGCGGTTTTAAATCTGTTTTCCTCTCAAGCAGTGCTTGTATGCCAAGAGTTCTCAGGCCTCTGAAGAAAGCACCTAATTGCATATTTCTTGTACACCTTCATGTGCACTCCTACTCCATTCTCCCAGGACCAGGTCTTGGATGGGCTTGCCACTAGGAGCTCTGCATGGGCGCTGGGGCTCAGCTGGAGGGCACTTGGCAAAAGCAGGCAAGATGTCTAATGGTATCATCACCAGGGTCAGGCCCAGCGGTCAGACCCGGAAAGAAACCTTCAGCAAAAGACCACCTGAGGCCTCTAACAGCCCCTTCTGCTCGCCCCCTCCGCTCCCTGAGAGACTCGTCCGGCAATGTCAAGACTGCCCTTCTGTACCAGGAGAGAGTCCGAGAGGGGCTGAGGCCACTGGCCATTGGGACAAGAGCAGAAGCTCCTCAGAGAAGCCCTGCCCCATTCCCGGCGCGGGACTCCCACCCAGCTCCGCCCACTAGGAGTCAGGGCCCCGCCCCTGTCCCGTCGGGTCCGAGAGAAGTTGCCCCCGCCCCGCGAACCCCGCCCGCCGCCACCGCGCGGCTTCTTTCAGCACCGTGGCGCGGACAGCTCCCGGGCGGGCGCGGAGGGGAGGCGGCGGGGCGAGCGGCCGGCGGGGGAGGGCCGGGGAGGGCAGCGGACGGTAGACGCAGGCGGTGGGCGGGGCACCGAGCCTCGCGGCCCTCCCCGAGGGCGGCGCCCACCCGGAGCCGGACGCCGCCGAGCCCGAGGACAGGCGGAGACGCAGGGAGCCGGGCACTGGTGGCTCCGGGCAGAGGCTGCGGCCGAAAGATGCCGGTCCGTAGGGGCCACGTCGCGCCCCAAAACACTTACCTGGACACCATCATCCGCAAGTTCGAGGGCCAGAGTGAGTGTGCGCGTTGGTGTGGGGGGACGATCTGGAGTCCTGGTTCGGTGGCAAAAGTGGCAGGACCCCTGCACTAACTTCTAATGGAGCAGGGTGGGGGGTACCGGATGCCGAATGCAAAATCCTTCGCTTTCATGTCCCCGATACCTTCTCCTCCAGCGGGCCCCGCTTCCCAGAAATGCCGCCCTGCCTGCTGGAGCAAGAGGGGCAGAGCGCAGCCCCTCCCCCCACACCCGAGTTGTTTTCTTGGGCCCCAGCCCTGACCTCCCTTCTGTCACTGTCCTGCTCCCCCTCCTGCTTCCCTCACTTCCTCCAGAGGTTTCCTTGCCTCCCTCCTTTTCACCTCCTGACCCTACCCACTCTGGTCTTTCTAGGAGCTCTCCCCAGGTCTGGCCCCCATCTGTTCACATCCCTGCTCCTTCTTCCTGACCCCTTTGCTGCCTCCAGGAAGTCTTGGGCCTTCCTCCTGCTTCACTGACCCCATTACTGCCCTGGTCTTCCCACAATCCCCAGGCCTGACTCCCCCGCCCCATTTCTCTGGTCACTGTCCTGCTCCCCCTTCCTAGCCACCCCCTCAATCCTCCCAGGAGTCCCATGACCTTCCCCCATGACTCTGGCCTCCTTGGTCTTCCCACCCTCTCCAGACCTGACCTCCCCCTTCCCTCATTCTGGTCACTGCTCTGCTTCCCCGTCTACTTCTCTCCTCACTGCTGCCAAGAGTCCCTATGCTCCCTCCCTCCCTGCCACCCAATCCTGGTTGCCATGGGCTTCCCACCTCCCACTTCCCACCCCAGGTCGTAAGTTCCTGATTGCCAATGCTCAGATGGAGAACTGCGCCATCATTTACTGCAACGATGGCTTCTGTGAACTCTTCGGCTACTCCCGAGTGGAGGTGATGCAGCGACCGTGCACCTGCGACTTCCTCACAGGCCCCAACACCCCGCGCAGTGCCATGTCCCGCCTGGCGCAGGCCCTGCTGGGGGCCGAGGAGTGCAAGGTGGACATCCTCTACTACCGCAAGGATGGTGAGGTGCCCTTGAGCCACTGGTTCTGCAGGGCAGGCTTGGCCCCTCTCTTGTCCAGCCGAGTGGCCATGGGGAGGGCAGTGACCCAGGGACCAAAGGGCCTAAACAAATCCTATCTCCTCTCTGGGCCTCAGTTTCCTCATCTGTAGGGGAAAGTGATGGACATCGGTTGCGATGCCTTCTGAGGTCCTTTTCAGAGGCCGGGGACCAGGCTGAGCCACCGATTGGTCCTGGTCCTCAGCAGGGCCTCCCGTTCCACCATCCCTCCCCCATGTCCCCTGTCTCCTGGCTGTCCACTCTGTCACTGTCAGCCCCAGCTGTCAGGCAGCTGGGACGGAAATTAACCTTTCCTCATCTCTGTCTGCTCTGGGGATTAGGGGAGGAGTCATCCCCCTCAAGGCCTGTGTGGCCAGGCAAGGCATGGGGGCTGCTGGCTGGGAAAGAGGGGTGGGTCTGGCTCACCCAGCCCCAGCTCCTTGGGGACACAGGGTCTGGAGTTTGCCCTGATCTGGAGCTCATCCAGTTTGGGATGTTACTGCCAGCCCAAGTCTATTGCAAGCATAGGGCAGGGGCTGAGGATAAGGAGTTCTGCAGCCCTTTGAGACCCTCCCCCCAGTACCTCAGAGTCTCCACTGGACCGGTGCGGGGAGGGGAGGAGGGATGGGTGGGAACTAGGATCCTGAAAGTCCTTTTGAAAACACCTGGATCAATGGTCCCCCAATCTGGTTCTGCACCAGAATTACCTGGGGTGTGTTTTCCAAAACACACCTTCCCTAGAGAGAGGCTGACTCAGAGGTGTGAGGTAAGGCCCATGCAAGTGTATTTGGAAAAATCTCCCCGGCAGTTTGGGTGTTCTGCCAAGTTTAGGAACCACTAGCTTAGATAAATCCCTTCATTTCATGGTTGAAGAACAGGGGGCCAAAGAAAAAGAAGGGACTTGCCCAAGATCCTACTGCTGGGGTCCAACCTGGGACTGGACCCCAAGCCTCTGGATTCTTCCCTCAGAGATATCTGGTCTGAGTAATCCCAAGATGGGAGAAAGGACCCCAACTGCCTCTGTTCTCGGAGGTGGGATTTTGGGGAAAGAAGCTCCGGAAGAGGGCCCTCCCCAGGGAAGACATGCATGCGGGCCCTCTGAGTGCAGATAAAGGGCAGGCAGGATTGGGACTGAGGGGCACTGAGAGCCCGGGTTACAGGGGCCTGGTGTGTGTGTGGAGCATGAGTGTTAAGTGTGAATGTGAGCGTGTGTGTGTGTGTGCATGTGTGTGGGAGTGTGTTTAACGGCATCCAGGGTGTTTCTTGGGCAGGTCCTGGCTGTCCCTCTGGCTGTCCCCTGCTGCTGCCTTCAAGGTGAATATAGGGCTGGCGTTTAGGGAACTAGGAAGAATCTGCCTTAGTTTGGCAGCACTCACAGGGTTAATGAAGTCAGAATATTTTTAAAAGCTGTGACCTCACCTCCTCACTCCTCATTGCAGGGAGGTGACAGTCAGGGGAGTGAGAAGGGTCCCCGGGGAACAGGATGGGACAACAGGAAATGAGGGGGGACAACAGGTCGTCTTCTATCCGTCTTCTTGACCCCAGAGCTCTACCTGGGCCCCAGAGGGGTGAGGGCTCATCCCAGACTCCTAGGGATTTCAGATCAGGGCTCTTAGGGTCTCCTTGGCACCCTGCATGTGCCTGGGCAGGCAACAGAGGTCAAGGCCTTGACCCTCTGAGATCAGGACTCAGGTCTTTTTTTTTTTTTAATTTATTTTTTTTTAATTT